CAGTCATTGCATGAAAATGTATAAAAGATTTTATTTCTCAAAATATTTTCCTTATAACCTATCCTCCAAGATCTGATAGAAATAATATTTTTATATTTTATTTTAAAAATAACGAAATATAAATTTGACTGATCGTTCTTAAGCCAGGGTTTAAAGTTAAAATTTATTAGGTAGAGATAGTTGGGAATTGGATTGTTGTTGGCTAATTTACTGAGATTGTCAAGAGGACATTGTTTATAGCGACACCTTTGGTTATAATAATAATTTTTCATCCTGGGATTCTTAATAACTGTTGACAAAACTTAAGTTATAATACGCTTTAAAAGTGTATAAAAACAATAGGATATAAAACAACTTAAAATAGTGAGTTAAAAACATCAATAGATGAATATTTCTCCAGCCAAAATCATCACCAAAAAGTGATGAATTGTTTACAGTCTGTGTGTGTAGGTAATTTTTTCGAGTGCAGTTTTTCCACTCTCTCATCTGCTGGTGGCGTCTCATTCAGACACATGTGTTTTTGACAAGCTGCCGCTCATCGCCTTGTGTGACATCATTTATTATATTTCATTTGCAATGTCTTGGGATACCTTGTCTGCATTCCATTATCCCCCCTCCTCTCCCCAAAAAATATGAGTAATGCACAGAGCACTCCTCCTGCGCCACAAAAGTATGCAAAATGTGCGGAAACTTTTCATTTCTTCACTCAGCCATTTAATGAGCAAAGTTTCAATTAAATCGAAGCTTTCAGCGCTCGACTTCTGTTCAAGTCTCAGCTGGTGTTCAAACAAATCGAAACAAATAGAAGCAGTCGCCCGACTTCCCTGAATTCCGCTGACAGCATCGCCAATAAGGTCCTAAGCCAAAGAGGGAGAAAAGCTTATGTGTTTTTCAGCGATTTCCCCATCTAAATCACAGCTAAATCTCTGGTCTCCCCCACGGTAGATGAATTTTATTTGTTTGTCGTTCTGTCTGTTTTCTGTTATTTTTTGCTTTGTTACTTTCAAATGTAAACTGATAAAAACAATTGAAAGCAAACAGAACCAAATGGGGGAAAAGTAATCTTTAAATTAAGGGTAGCAGTGCTTATTTCTTTTTGAGTTTTACGAGGGTATGGGCCCCAGAGCTTTTCCAGACTTCTTTTCCACTTCCCCCAAACCGTCTTCAATTTCTCATATAAGTGAGGCCAATTGGATTCGATTTGAATTTAAATGGTTTTCGGTTTTGTTCTCATATTAAAGCGTTTACCACAAAATGAAAAAGTTTCGTTTTATAAGAGTAAAAATTTCCTCATTTCGGAATCCCCGAATTTCATGAGACTTTATTGGCTTTTTTAACTGTTTTAAGAAAAGAAAGTATCCATTACTCTTAATTTAAGAACTTCTAATTTGTAAGATATATTTTTATATTTCCTATAAGTAAACAAATATAAAATATTTTGAAAAAAAATTTTCAATAGCATTTTTTGAAGTTCCTAACCATCTTCCTATTTATCATACATCAAAAAATGAACCTTTATCCATTATAAACATTATACAAAAAAAGTTGGCAACTGGAGAAAAGTTTATAGATTTTATGACTATACTTAAGCAGTGAATTTCATGAATTCCGGAGTTCGTCAATACGATAAAAATAAACCCTGTTCATCCTATGTAGACAATTCAAGAAGAATGTTATACATGTTTCTTACAATTGAAGCACAATTTATTTTGGATGGAAATTTAATCAAGCCTTTCCTGACGAATTTGAAACATCGCTCAAGATTTTCACCTTTATGAGATGCGTTTTTTATAAGTCTCGGGAGTCAAGGCTCTGGGCAGTCACAACTGGAGAACGATCTCTCTCCATCTGGAAGCCCTGCCCAAGACTGTCGAGTTTCCATATTCAGTTTACCAGCAGTCAAGAACATGTAATCCGCAATTAAGAATCGCGTTAAGGGTGGCTGTTTATCGTATCGACCATCCTTTAACATAATTTTCTTCGGTGACAGCAATTAGTTTTACTTAGTTAAATAAGATGATTTCAGATAGTGGAATTTCTGGCATCTTGAGATAATTTTCCGTCCGACCACGGACACCACGAACATTCCTCATAGTTGCTTTGCAAAGCTTTGGAATTAGAAATCATAAAATTTATTAATTCTGAAACAACTTTATTGGTTCCTTTCGGAAGTAAAGCCCTCTATTGTCGATTGTAGACATAGCTTATTATTTATTTCAGACCTGGATCCTCCACGTGACCCACGAAGAGCACTGAGCTGGGAGTGCGGATGGCAAAAACGAACGGCCGGTTGGCGACGAAATTGGGATTTATACTAGCGGACAAAAATGACATCTTCAAATCTAGGACAGAAAATTATTAGTAATTGATTTCGGGGGGGAAAGTGCGTGAGATCTTACAGGAAGCTGCCGCGGCCTCGGTTCCCCCTCGCCAACATCGATGTAGGCCTTCTGCTTGATCTGGTCAACGCGTACTGGCTGTTTGAGCAAGTTGATCACCTGCGAGCTTGGCGAGAACATCTGGCGGAGACCCAGCTCCTTTAACGGTTCGGTCATGTCCTGCTCGAACTCGATCCGGAACTTCGGCAACCCCACTTCAACGTATCGGCGGCGCAGGCGGGGGGCAATCCGGTTGAGATCGAACTCCGGTTGGGCCAACTTTTGTTCAAGGTCGGCCAGTCCATCGTGCCGATTGGGCAGCAGGATCAGCATGCTGGTGGCACTGTCCTTGTAGGCCAGTTCCAGGGCGGTGGCGTTCAGCTCGGGCAGATCGGCAAAGCCGTAGACATCATTGTTGTGCATCATGGCCACCTCGGAAGTTCCACCGCCACTGAGTCGGAATTTGGCGGAGTGCGTGACCATAGTGGAGAAAACGTGCTCCCAGCGGCCCTTAAAATACACGGCGTTCACCAGTATGGCCTGCACATTAGATGTAATGCTTTTGGACGACATCAAGTTCTTGATCTTGTTCCGGGTGCTGTTCGCCACCCAGGCGTTGATCTTGGTGGCCGTGACCCCGCCGTTATCCATGTCCACGGGCTCCGTACCGGCGGTGTAGTAGATCTTGGCGAACTCCTCAAATCTGGTATTGATGCCACCCAGCCGCTGGTTGTAGTAGACCCTCATCGCTGTTGTCAACTCGACACCCTGCAGATGATCCTTGAACTTGATCAGTCGCTGGAAGTCCAGGGCCACATCAGTGTGATTCTTGCCGAACTCCCCGACTTGCTTCAGTTCTCGCAAAGTCTCCCCAGAAGATGCCGCAAGGATCATGCCCAGCAGGGCGTGAACGGAGAAGGGAGAGATGACGACGTTGCCCGGGTTCGACTTCGCGATTTTCTGGAAGAGTTTGGAGCTGAAGCGGTCCATGTAGCTAAAGGATGGCGATAATTGTCGAATGTTGTTTTGGGATTGCCTACGATCAAAGTTGTACTGCGCGAAGTACTGGGCAACCAGAAGGTGCCCCAATAATAGTAGAAGGATAGCTGGAAAAGTATTCATAAGATCAGTTCATTAAAAGAGAGGAGGAAAGGGATCACAACTCACTGGCTTTGCTCGCCATTTTTCTTATCTGGTGCTGATTTAAAAGAACTTATTCTTCCGAGCCGACGATGTGTTCGTTTTCAGACTCACTACCAAACTGATTGTTGCGAAACCAATTATCACAGTCAGGCTATACGGCTGAGAGGGAAATGGAAATCGAATCGCATTATAAGACAGTGACTAAGACGGTCTTTAGCTAGATTTTTCTATGTTGCTGGCAAGAAATTCAAATTTTGCCATTCTAGCAGAGGATTCCACTGCTTTATTTATTAACAAGAAAGGAAATCTAACTTCGAGCGGAGCCGAAGTTGATATACCCTTGCAGAATATTCTGTAAATTATTTTCTCCAGATCGGTGGAAAAAATATAAAAACAAACACCAAAGTTATGGCATTTCCGATTAACCAGTTATATGGCAGCTATAGAATATAGTCGGCCGATCCTTATGAAATTTGGTAGGTCGGATTGACTAACCAAATATAAAACCCATAGAAAATCCCAACTTCCTAACTTTACAAACACCAAAGTTATGGCATTTCCGATCAATCAGTTATATGGCAGCTATAGGATATAGTCGGCCGTTCCCGGCCGTACGACTTATATACTGCGTGCAAAGGAACGAAGGGTGTGTGCAAAGTTTCAATTCGATATCTTTAAAACTGAGAGACTAGTTCGCGTAGAAACAGACAGACGGACAGACAGACGGACAGACAGACGGACAGACAGACGGACAGACGGACATGCTTATATCAACTCAGGAGGTGATCCTGATCAAGAATATATATACTTTATAGGGTCGGAGATGTCTCCCTCACTGCGTTGCACACTTTTGACCAAAATTATAATACCCTCTTCAAGGTATAAACGGAAGATATATTAATTTATTTATACAGTGAATTTCATGAAGTTCGTCAAACCCTGTTCATGCAATGTAGACAATTCAAGAAGAATGTTATACATGTTTCTTGCAATTGAAGCACAATTTATTTTGATTTACAAATGATCAACTTATTCCCATCGATGGAAATTTAATCGAATGTGGCTGTATGCAGAGAATACAAGCCATTCCTGGCGAGACATCGCTCAAAATGTGTACCTTAATGAGATGCGTTTCTCATAAGTCTCGGGAGTAGACTGTTAAAATTCTAGGCAGTCACATCTGGAGAACGATCTCTCTCCATCTGGAAGCCCTGCCCAAGACTGTCGCGTTTCCATATCCAGTTTACCAGCAATCAAGAACATGTAATCAGCAATTAAGAATCGCGTTAAAGATGTTTATTGTATCGACCATCCTTTAATAAGTTTTACTTAGTAAAGTACCTCTCCACCCAATCATGATTTTAGATTGTGGAATTTTTGTCAGCTAGAGAGGATTTCCCGTCGGTCCACAGACACTACGAACGTGTCGCAAAATTGAGGCCATTCCTCATATTTGCTTTGGAATTAGAAATCATAAAATTTATTAATTCTGAAACAACTTTATTGGTTCCTTTCGGAAGTAAAGCCCTCTATTGTCGATTGTAGACATAGCTTATTATTTATTTCAGACCTGGATCCTCCACGTGACCCACGAAGAGCACTGAGCTGGGAGTGCGGATGGCAAAAACGAACGGCCGGTTGGCGACGAATATGGGGTTGTTAGAAATCATTCTACGATTCACCGTCGCATCTAGAACAGAAATTTATTAGTAATGGATTGCGGGGGGAAATTGGGTGAGATCTTACAGGAAGCTGCCGCGGCCTCGGTTCCCCCCTCGCCAACATCGATGTAGGCCTTCTGCTTGATCTGGTCAACGCGCACTGGCTGATTGAGCAAGTTGATCACCTGCGAGCTTGGCGAGAACATCTGGCGGAGACCCAGCTCCTTTAGGGGTTTGATCAAGTCCTGCTCGAACTCGATCCGGAACTTCGGCAAACCCACTTCAACCTTCTGGCGACGCAGGCGGGGGGCAATCCGGTTGAGATCGAACTCCGGTTGGGCCAACTTTTGCTCAAGGTCGGCCAATCCATCGTGCCGATTGGGCAGCAGGATCAGCATGCTGGTTTCACTGTCGTTGTAGGCCAGTTCCAGGGCGGTGGCGTTCAGCTCGGGCAGATCGGCAAAGCCGTAGACATCTTTGCTGTGCATCATGGCCACCTGGGAAGTTCTACCGTCAGTGAGGCTGAATTTGGCGGGGCGCGTGGCACTAGTGGAGAAAGCCTTTTCCCAGCGGCCCTTAAAATACACGGCGTTTACCAGTATGGCCTGCACATTAGATGTAATGCTTTTGGACGAGATCAAGTTCTTGATCTTGTTCCGGGTGCTGTTCGCCACCCAGGCGTTGATCTTGGTGGCCGTGACCCCGCCGTTATCCATGTCCACGGGCTCCGTACCGGCGGTGTAGTAGGTCTTGGCGAACTCCTCAAATCTGGTATTGATGCCACCCAGCCGCTGGTTGTAGTAGACCCTCATCGCTGTTGTCAACTCGACACCCTGCAGATGATCCTTGAACTTGATCAGTCGCTGGAAGTCCAGGGCCACATCAGTGTGATTCTTGCCGAACTCCCCGACTTGCTTCAGTTCTCGCAAAGTCTCCCCAGAAGATGCCGCAAGGATCATGCCCAGCAGGGCATGCAGGGAGAAGGGAGAGATGACGACGTTACCCTGGTTCGGCTTCGCGATTTTCTGGAAGAGTTTGCCGCTGAATCGGTCCATGTAGCTGAAGGAAGGCGATAGTTGTCGACTGTTGTTTTGGGATTGATTACGATCAAAGTTGGTCTGCGCGAAGGTCTGGGCAACTAGAAGGTGTCCCATTAATAGTAGCAGGATACCTGGAAGAGGATTCATAAGATCATTTCATTAAGAGAGAGGGGGGAGGGATCACAACTCACTGGCTTTGCTCGCCATTTTTCTTATCTGGTGCTGATTTAAAAGAATTTATTCTTCCGTTCCGACGATCTGCTCGTTTTCAGACCCACTACAAAACTGATCGTTGCAAGACCAATTAGCAGAGTCAGGCTATACGGCTTTAGGATGAGAGGGAAATGGTACAGACAAGCAGTCGGTATCGAATCGCATTATATGACAGTGTACTGGGAAAAGCTCAATTCCGATTCGGTTGCCATTCTAGCAGCGGATTCCACAGCTTTATTCACTAACAAGAAAGGAAAGCTAACTTCGGGCGGAGCCGAAGTTGATATACCCTTGCAGAATACTCTGTAAATTATATTCTCCAAAATTATTCATATGATGCATTCTTAATACTCATAAAAAATCCCAACTTCCTAACTTCAAAAACACCAAAGTTATGTCATTTCCAATCGTTCAGTTATATAACAGCTGTATGATATAGAAATTTGGTAGGTCGAATTGATTGGCCATAAATAAAACCCATAGAAAATCCCGACTTCCTAACTTAACAAACACCAAAGTTATGGCATTTCCGATCAATCAGTTGTATGGCAGCTATAGGATATATATATATATTCCGACTTATATACTGCGTGCAAAGGAAAGAAGGGTGTGTGTAAAGTTTCAATTCGATATCTTTAAAACTGAGAGACTAGTTTGCGTAGAAACAGACAGACGGACATGCTTGTATCAACTCAGGAGGCGATCCTGATCAAGAATATATATACTTTATAGGGTCGGAGATGTCTCCTTCACTGCGTTGCACACTTTTGACCAAAATTATAATACCCTCTGCAAGGGTATAAAAAGTGTTAAGAGGGGTTAAAAAAGGCCTGTTTAAATTAAGTAAACAAATAAGAAATATATGGTTATTTTTTCCTACCCAAAAGTTATAAATAAAATTTTAAGCCTACTGGGAATTTTTGATTAAGTTGAGTTTTTTTTAGCAACATTTGCGAACTTTATTTATTTTTTCCACTTGGGAGGCACCTAAAATTATGTTTAACGAAAATTTATTAATAAATGCCGTCGTTGTTTTATTAGAGGGTATTATAATTTCAGTCAAAAGTTTGCAACGCAGTGAAGGAGACATTTCCGACCCTATAAAGTATATATATTCTTGATCAGCATCACCAGGAGAGTCGATCTAGCCATGTCCGTCTGTCCGTCCGTCTGTCCGTCTGTCCGTCTGTCCGTCCGTTTCTACGCAAACTAGTCCCTCAGTTTTAAAGCTATCTGCTTGAAACTTTCCCAAAAGTTGTCTTTCTATTGCAGGTAGTATATAAGTCGGAACAAGCCGGATCGGGCGACTATATCATATAGCTGCCATATAACTGAACGATCGGAAAAGCCATAACTTTGGTGTTTTTAAAGTTAGGAAGTTGGGATTTTCTATGGGTTTTATTTTTGGCTAATCAATCCGACCTGCCAAATTTCATAAGGATCGGACGACTATATCCTATAGCCGCCATATAACTGATTGATCGGAAATGCCATAGCTTTGGTGTTTGTAAAGTTAGGAAGTTGGGATTTTCTATGGGTTTTATTTTTGGCCAATCAATCCGACCTACCAAATTTCAAAAGGATCGGCCGACTATATCTTATAGCTGCTATATAACTGATTGATCGGAAATGCCATAACTCTGCTGTTTGTTAAGTTAGGAAGTTGGGACTTTTTATGAGTATTAAGAATGCATCATATGAATAATTTTGGAGAATATAATTTATAGAATATTCTGCAAGGGTATATCAACTTCGGCTCCGCCCGAAGTTAGCTTTCCTTTCTTGTTAAATTTGTTCTTTGTTCTTGGAAATAAGATGCAATTATTTGAAATGACCACATTTTCTTCAAATTCTTCAAATAATCAGCTGTATCAATGAATAACCTAAATTTCCAAAGATAAGACTTTTATTTGTTAGAGGAGCGGTATATATAATAATTCAGGCACTTTCTATCAAAACACGTCCACTTTATTCAAACCATATACCAAGAATGATTAACATTGGGCTTGCTTTAAGATTATGTTATCCTTAAAGTTAGCTTAACATTAACAATCGATAGTTTATTGGGCATAAGGTGGCCTACTACATATTGAACTTAAAAAAATAGGTTTTTATTTTTAAGAAAAATTTTTTATATTTTGTTTATAAAAGAAAATATAATTAATCATTGATGATTTGATAAAATTTACATTGAATTTCTCGAAACAGTTCAAATTGACTTTAATATGTTCTTGTGAAACACAACAGCTAAAAAGTTTCATGAAATTAGGACCTTAGGAAATGTGATGGCCGCTTGGGGAGATTTTGACTTATATGTATTTGGGCCTTAACCCGCATACACGCGTACTAAAAAGGGTCCGCATTTAAATTTAATTGCTGTTTTCTTATCGGATTATTATAATTTAATTATCTGTGGTTCATAATTCTTGACGGTCTTTCCCCGATCCGAAAGATTTGCGGTATTTTGCCATTTGATTTGGCATGCTCTAATTAAGCATTTAAATCTTTTTCTAGTTTTCCACCCAAGAAGGCATATTTGTATTCAGATAATAAGGTAGAGTGTGGTAATGTTCATAATAACACAATTGGCATCTAATCGATATACATTTTTATACCCTTGCAGAGGGCATTATAATTTTGGTCAAAAGTGTGCAACGCAGTGAAGGAGACATCTCCGACCCTATAAAGTATATATATTCTTGATCAGGATCACCTCCTGAGTTGATATAGCCATGTCCGTCTGTCCGTCTGTCTGTTTCTACGCGAACTAGTCTCTCAGTTTTAAAGATATCGGAACGGCCGGGATCGGCCGACTATATCCTATAGCTGCCATATAACTGATTGATCGGAAATGCCATAACTCTGCTGTTTGTTAAGTTAGGAAGTTGGGACTCTCTATGGGTATTATATTTGGCCAATCAATCCGACATACCAAATTTCATAAGGATCGGCCGACTATATCCTATAGCTGCTATATAACTGATTGATCGGAAATGCCATAACTTTGGTGTTTGTAAAGTTGGGAAGTTGGGATTTTCTATGGGTTTTATATTTGGCCAATTAATCCGACCTACCAAATTTCATAAGGATCGGCCGACTATATCCTATAGCTGCTATATAACTGATTGATCGGAAATGCCATAACTTTGGTGTTTGTAAAGTTGGGAACTGATTGATCGGAAATGCCATAACCTTAGTGTTTGCAAAGTTAGGAAGCTGGGATTTCCTATGGGTTTTATATTTGGCCAATCAATCCGACCTACCAAATTTCATAAGGATCGGCCGACTATATCTTATAGCTGCCATATAACTGATCGATCGGAAATGCCATAACTTTGGTGTTCTTAAAATTAGGAAATTGGGACTTTTTATGAGTATTAAGAATGCATCAAATTAATAATTTTGTAGAATATAATTTACAGAATATTCTGCAAGGGTATATCAACTTCGGCTCCGTCCGAAGTTAGCTTTCCTTTCTTTTTAGTCTCAGAAATGATTTATGTTTTAATTCATATGCGAATAGTTATTTCAAAGTTTTCTTTGAGTGTTATTTTCGATTCGCAAAAATTCGGTTTACAGTTTCATTAAACTCTCTATTTAAATTCTCGTAGTATACTAATCTATTATGGTTTAATTAATTCCTAGAATGAGTTGTTATTCTGATCACGAAATTTTTTTTCAACTTTGAAGGTGTGTTTTAACAATTTTTGATACTCATTTCCTTTAGACTCGCGAACGATTTAAAATAATCGCGTTTTGTCTAGATATTTAAGCAATATTTAATTATCCTCTTAACCAAAAATAAATTTAGCCCAGCGCTTATCAAAACTATTGCCGCTTAGGACGTTCTTTGATATCGAACCGATTGCATTAATATTTAAATTCATTTGATTTTTCATTGTTTCATTATTTTTCATTATTATACCCGTTACTCGTAGAGTAAAAGGGTATATTGTATTCGTGCAAAAGTATGTAACAGCTAGAAGGAAGCGTTTCCGACCCTATAAAGTATATATATTCTTGATCAGGGTCACTAGCCGAGTCGATATAGCCATGTCCGTCTGTCCGTCTGTCTGTCCGGAAACTATAAAAGCTAGAAGATTGGCATTTTGCATGCAGATTCTAGGAGTTCCTACGCAGCGCAAGTTTGTTTCAAAAAGGTGCCACGCCCCCTTTAACGCCCACAATCGCTCATATACGATTTTAAAAATTTAAATATTTCGGAAAAGTAAAAATGCAGTTTTATTGTGTTTATCAATACCTATCGAAATGTAGAAGAAATTTTTCAAATCGGACCATTCGTTAAAAAGTTATGCGTGATCAAAGTTTCTATCTCCATCTCCCTCGCACTCCCTTTAGCTGAGTAACGGGTATCTGATAGTCGGGGCACTCGACTATAGCGTTCTCTCTTGTTTTTCACTGCACAAGTTTCAGACATATTTGCGAGTTTTTATCGCATTCTATGCACACAAATTTGCTGGATGCCACGCAAAAGATTATATTGATTTCTTTATTGATTTTTGATGATTATTTTAATATAGTTACAATTGTCCGATTTAAAAGCTGCCGCTTCAATGGTAATTTCTATATATGCCTCTCCTTAAGAGGTCCTTGTCTCTAATGACAAAAAACTGGGTGATTCGATTTTCACAAGCCTCCTTTAAACTCAATTTCAGCTCATCGAAAAAATTAAGCGTATCCAAAAAGCGATGGAAATCGCTTGGGACGATGTCCGGAGTATGAGGTGGATGCATTAAAACTTCTTAAACAAGCTTCCATGGCTTGTGACGTGTCATTAAAGATGTTTGGGCCTGGAACTCAATGGCTGGCAGTATGTCAGCCGCACATCCAGGAGCGATAAAGAATCGAGTTTCTATGGAGGCAATGTGTTTTACTAAGTTAAGTGCTTCTTCACCCAAATATGATGTCAGAAAGTGAAATTTCTAGCAGCTATAGAGGATTTCCCGTCGGTCCACAAACAATACGATCATGTCAAATTAGAAAACATCACATTCATTAATTCTTTAACAACTTTATTGTTTTTTTTTTTACAAATGCATTGAGGCAAGATTCTTTTCGGAAATCAAACCCTTTATTGTCGGTTGTAGACATCAGCTTTTGAATTATTTCAGACCTGGATCCTCCACGTGACCCACGAAGAGCACTGAGCTGGGAGTGCGGATGGCAAAAACGAACGGCCGGTTGGCGTAGAAGGTGGGGTTGAAAGTAAGGGACAAAAACGCCATCCTCACATCTAGGACAGAGAATTATTAGTAATGGATTACGGGGAGAAAGTGGGTGAGATCTTACAGGATGCTGCCGCGGCCTCGGTTCCCCCCTCGCCAACATCGATGTAGGCCTTCTGCTTGATCTGGTCAACGCGCACTGGCTGATTGAGCAAGTTGATCACTTGCGGGCGTGGCGAGAACATCTGGCGGAGGCCCAGCTCCTTTAGGGGTTTGATCAAGTCCTGCTCGAACTCGATCCGGAACTTCGGCAAGTTCACTTCAACCTTCTGGCGTCGCAGGCGGGGGGCAATCCGGTTGAGATCGAACTCCGGTAGGGCCAACTTTTGCTCAAGGTCGGCCAATCCATCGTGCCGATTGGGCAGCAGGATCAGCATGCTGGTTTCACTGTCCTTGTAGGCCAGTTCCAGGGCGGTGGCGTCCAGCTCGGGCAGATCGGCCAGGCCGTAGACATCATTGCTGTACATCATGACCACCTCGGAAGTTCTACCGTCAGTGTGGCGGAATTCGTCGGGGTGCGTGTTCTTAGTGGAGAAATCGTGCTCCCAGCGGCCCTTAAAATACACGGCGTTCACCAGTATAGCCCCCAGATTAGATGTAATGCTGCCGGGCGAGATCAAGTTCTGGATCTTGTTCCGGGTGCTGTTCGCCACCCAGGCGTTGATCTTGGTGGCCGTGACCCCGCCGTTATCCATGTCCACGGGCTCCGTACCGGCGGTGTAGTAGATCTTGGCGAACTCCTCAAATCTGGGATTGATGCCCCCCAGTCGCTGGTTGTAATAGACCCTCATCGCTGTCGTCAACTCGACACCCTGCAGATGATCCTTGAATTTGAGCAGCCGCCGGAAGTTCCGGGCTACATGAAACTGACTAGGGCCAAACTCCCCGACGTGTTTCAGCTCGCGCCTAGTCTCCCCAACAGATGCCGCAAGGATCATGCCCAGCAGGGCGTGGACGGAGAAGGGAGAGATGACAACGTTTCCCGGGTTCGACTTCGCGATTTTCTGGAAGAGTTTGCCGCTGAATCGGTCCATGTAGCTGAAGGAAGGCGATAGTTGTCGACTGTTGTTTTGGGATTGCCTACGATCAAAGTTGGCCTGCGCGATGGTCTGGGCAACCAGAAGGTGTCCCATTAATAGTAGCAGGATACCTGGAAGAGGATTCATAAGATCATTTCTTTAAGAGAGAGGGGGGAGGGATCACAACTCACTGGCTTTGCTCGCCATTTTTCTTATCTGGTGCTGATTAAATTGAATTTATTCTTCCGTACGGACGATCTGCTCGATTTCGGCTCCACCACAAAACTGATCGTTGCGAGTCCAATCATCAGCAACAGACCAGTGCCAGGCTATACAGATTTAGGATGAGAGAGAAATGGTACAGATTGTGACTCTACTATGCTCCGAAGAAGCAGTCCGTAAGCGAATCGCATGATATGGCAGAGACTTTAGGTCGGTTCTTCTATCTTTTGCTGGCAGGGAAGCCTCTATTTTAGAACTGGGAAAAGCCCAATTCCAATGATCAGGGGCTACTTTTCCTCGGTTGATATTCTAGCTGAGGTTTCCAGTTGGGTTTCCTGGGATTAGAAAAATTGAATTCAATAAGGCCTAATTATAAAAGTTATGAAAATCCATTTTTACTCTTAACAGTGCTCTTGAATTGTATGAAAACTAATCTGAATTGTCTTATTTTGTGTGAGTCAGCTTTTTTAAGTAATATGATATTTACTTAATCATGTCAATACATACAATTGTATGTAAATTTTAAATATGTAGAAAAGTACCTATTTGTTTAAAATTTGTGAAAAACAATGGATATACATAATTGTGAATACACAAATAAATGCTGAAATATAAGTAATTTAATATAAGTAATTTAAAAATCATATTCAAATTTTTGCCGGATTTTCATTTGTACGTGAACAGGGAATTTAACGGGACACTTAAATTGTTTTCATTATTTGTTCATATATATATAACATTCCACATTGTTCCTGGAAATGGGAAAAAATAATTATTAAGAAAATAAACAATTGTACAGCTAGCTTATCATTTTGTTTTATATTCAATGATTGAACAGAAAAATGAAAAAAATCCATCCATTATCAGTATTTGTAAATTGTAATAAATAAAATCTTTATTATGTAGAAAGCATAAGATAGTTAAATCACTTATTTAAAGTTAATAATACAATTGTTAGTTTCCCCGTTTAAAGAGTATATATTTTCACTCGCTGTTCTACAGTAGTAAAGCGAATGAGTCAATATTGCATTTTCGAACAATTTTGATATATTCTATGTAATCCGTTATAACATACAAAGCTCCAACTGCAATAATTTTTAAGTAATAGTGCTGAAATATAAATTTTAACGAAATTCAATTTTTAGTGACTATAATAAACAGGTAATGATTTGTTTTCTATGCAAGTTGCATGGACACTCTTGTGGCCCCTGATAAGAAATATTCGGAGGAGATTAGAAGAGGCTTTTTCCCTGAGTAATAAAATATTGACCCAAAAGGCAGACTAAAGCTCATTATTCATCAAATCAGCTTCCCAAAAACCATAGATAAGGTTTTTACAAATTGCCAAAAATTCCGAGAAGCCATCAACCAAATAATAAAGTTCAATATATATAATTTAGCGATAAGAAAGTTCGCAAATACAAGATTATTTTTCAATTTTAAAATTAATTAATAATCCAAAATGTACAATTTATTTTTATACAAATACATCGACACAGGACGCTTTTTGGAAGCAAGCCATCTATTGCCCGTAGTAGGCAATAGCTGGGTCGATTCTGGCGGTCATCGGCAAGGGCTTCTCCACGTGACCCACAAGGAGCACTGAGCTGGGGGCGCGGATGGCAAAGACGAACGGCCGGTCGACGACAAAGTCCGGCGACCTGACTGGCAGCGACCCGGCATCTACAGCAGGGAATGATTAGTTATGATTTCGGGGAGGAAAGAAGGTGAGATCTTACCGGAAGGCGGGGCCTCGGTTCCGCTCTCGTCCACATCGATGTAGGCCTTCTGCAGGATCTTGTCCACGCGCACCGGCTCATCCAGCAACTTGTTCACCTGCGAGTTGGGAGTGAACATCTGGCGGAGGCCCAGATCCTTCAGGGGTTCGGTCATGTCCTGATTGAACTGGATCCGGAACTTGGGCAGGCCCACTGCCACCCTCTGGCGGCGAAGGCGGTGGGCGAGCTGGTTGAGATCGAACTGCGGCTGGGCCAACTTTTGCTCAAGGTCGGCCAGTCCATTGATCCTATTGGGCAACAGGATCAGCATGCTGGTGGCACTGTTCTTGTAGGACAGTTCCAGGGCGGTGGCGTTCAGCTCGGGCAGATCGGCCAGGCCGAAGACATCGTCGTTGAACATCATGGCCACCTGGGAAACTGTACCGTCGGTGTGGCTGAATTCGGCGGGCTGTGTGTTTCTGGTGGAGAACTCGTTCTCCCAGCGGCCCTTGAAATACGCGGCGTTCACCAACAGGGCCTGCATCTGGGAATTAATATCATTGGCACGGACCAAGTTCTGGATCTTGTTCTGAGTGCTGTCCGCTACCCAGGCGTTGATCTTGGAAGCCGTATCCAGGACGTTATCCATGTTCACGGGCTCTGTGCCGGCGTCGTAGTAGAACTTAGCGAACGCATCGTAGCTGGGATTGATGCCGCTCAGCCGCTGGTTGTAGAAGACCCTCAGCGCCATTGTCAGATCGGCACCCTGCAGATGATCCTTAAATTTGTAAAGCCGCTCGAAGTCCTGGGCCACATCCATCTGGCTCTCGCCGAACTCGCCGACCTGCTGCACTTCGCGCATAGTGTCCCCAGAAGATGCCGCATAGATCATGCCCAGCAGGGCGTGGACGGAGAAGGGTGAGAAGACGATGTTGCCCTGCCAAGGCTGCCTCACTATTTTCTGGAAGAGCTTGGCGCTGAAGCGGTCCATGTAGCTGTACGAGGGTGGCGGACGATTGGGTGGGGGGGTGGTCGTCGCTTGCTGATTAAGGGGCACCTCCTGCACATTGTTCGGAGGTTGTTGGTTGGCCTGTTGTCCCCAGTTGGAGTTGCCTGGCTGGGTGCGCAAGCCACGATCGCGTTGTACATTGACTGTACGTGTTTGCCAGGTATTATCTTGCTGTTGTGCGAAGGTATGGGCAACCAGAAGGTGTCCCGTTAGTAGGAGCACGATAGCTGGAAGAGGTTTCGAAAGATAATTTATGTCAGAGAGAGGGAAGAGGGATTACAACTCACTGGCTTTGCTCGCCATTTTTCTTATCTGGTGCTGATTTAATTAAATGTATTCTTCCGCGCAAATCGTCCGCTCGATTTCGGCTCCGCCACAAAACTGATCGTTGCGAATCCAATCATCTATACGGGTTTAGGATGAGAGAGAAATGGTACAGATCGTGACTCTACTGTGCTCCGGAGAAGCAACCCGTAATCTACTATGCTCCGGAGAAGCAGTCCGTAAGCGAATCGCATGATATGGCAGAGACTTTAGGTCGGTTCTTCTATCTTTTGCTGGCAGGGAAGCCTCTATTTTAGAACTGGGAAAAGCCCAATTCCAATGATCAGGGTCTACTTTTCCTATGTTGCTATTCTATCTGCGGTTTCCAGTTGGGTTTCCAGTGGCTAAAAAAGGAATTAAATTCAATGAGACCTAGTTATGAAAACCCTTTTTTATACCCTTACAGAGGGTATTATAATTTTGGTCAAAAGTGTGCAATGCAATGAAGGAGACATCTCCGACCCTATAAAGTATATATATTCTTGATCAGGATCACCTCCTGAGTTGATATAGCCATGACCGTCTGTCCGTCTGTCCGTCTGTCGGTTTCTACGCAAACTGGTCTCTCAGTTTTAATGATATCGAATTGAAACTTTGCACACACCCTTCTTTCTTCTGCATATGCCATAACTTTGGTGTTTGTAAAGTTAGGAAGTTGGGATTTTTTATGAGTGTTAAGAAAGCATCACATGAATCATTTTGGAGAATATAATTTACAGAATTTTCTGCAAGGGTGTAAGTTAGCTTTTCTGTGCTCTTGAATTGTATTAAAATCAATTCGAAGTGGATTATTATGTGTGACTCATATTTTTTATGTAAGTAGCCTATACTTTATCATGTCAATACATACAATTATATGTAAATTTTAAATATGTAGAAAAGTACCTATTTGTTTTAAATTTGTTAAAAACAAAGGATATACATAAATGTGTATGCTGGAAAATAAATAATTTAAAAATCCTATTCAAATTTTGTGCTGGAAATTCATGTTTAAGTGAACAAATAAAAAGAATATAAGAATATAAGAAAGTAAGTTTGCTTACTTAAAATATATTTGGTAAATTTAAAAAATAGTACTCTTAATTATTTTGTGTTTACTTATGTTAAAGCCGAATAATTTTGATATCTTCGTGGTTCATAATTCTTGATTGTCTTTCCCCGAACCGAAACATTTGCATAATTTTGCCATTTAATTTGGCATGCTCTAATTACGAAATTTTATGGTATTTTTGTGGCTACAAAGTTCTTTTGTCACCTCGGTCTAATTATGTTGTTTTCTAGTTTTCCACCCCAAGACCTTTTTCTCTTCGTTTCAGCCAAATTTTCAGTACTTGAGACTAAGAAGTCGGAACTGGATTTAAGTCGAGCTCTACGGTGCAGCACTTAGATTCGTTTATGCAACGAATTCCATGAATTCTGGAGTACATGAATACGATTAAATAAGCCCCTGTTAAGGCAATGCAGACAAATTCAAGATATAATTTGGGTCTAATTTGGGTTTGGGTCTTGGAAGTGCACAGCCTGGCAATATGTTTGTTACTCAAACAATTGAAGGCAATTTATTTCGATTTACGAAAGATCAATGATCATATATTTGATATCTGATGATCCTGATCAAGAATATATATACTTTATACTTCACTGCGTTGCGCACTTTTGACCCAAATTATAATACCCACTGCAAGAGTATAAAAAGAAGATTTATTAATATGTTTATATAGTGAATTTCATGAATTCCGGAGTTCGTCTAACTATGTTCATGCAATGTAGACAATTCAAGAAATACTATCTATATACACACAATATATACACACTATATATATATTATATGTACATGTTTCTTACAATTGAAACACAATTGAAGCACAATTTATTTTGCTTTACAAATGATCAACGTATTTTCATCGATAGAAATTTAATCGAATGTGGCTGTATGCAGACAACACAAGCCATTCCTGGCGAATTTAAAACATCGCACAAGATGTTTACCTTGATGAGATGCGTTCCTCATAAGTCTTGAGAGTAGACTGTCAAGATTCTAGGCAGTCACATCTGGAGAACGATCTCTCTCCTTCTGGGAGCCCTGCCCAAGACTGTCGAGTTTCCATATCCAGTTTACTAGGAATCGCGTTAAAGATGTTTATTGTATCGACCATCCTTTAATAAGTTTTACTTAGTAAAGTACCTCTCCACCCAATCATGATTTTAGATTGTGGAATTTTTGTCAGCTAGAGAGGATTTCCCGTCGGTCCACAGACACTACGAACGTGTCGCAAAATTGAGGCCATTCCTCATATTTGCTTTGGAATTAGAAAACATAAAATTTATTAATTCTGAAACAACTTTATTGGATCCTTTCGGAAGTAAAGCCATCTATTGTCGATTGTAGACATAGCTCATTATTTATTTCAGACCTGGATCCTCCACGTGACCCACGAAGAGCACTGAGCTGGGAGTGCGGATGGCAAAAACGAACGGCCGGTTGGCGACGAATATGGGGTCGTCAGAACGCATTCTACGCTTCACCCTCACATCTAGAACAGAAATTTATTAGTAATGGATTACGGGGGAAAATTGGGTGAGTTCTTACAGGATGCTGCCGCGGCCTCGGTTCCCCCCTCGCCAACATCGATGTAGGCCTTCTGCTTGATCTGGTCAACGCGCACTGGCTGATTGAGCAAGTTGATCACCTGCGAGCTTGGCGAGAACATCTGGCGGAGACCCAGCTCCTTTAGGGGTTTGATCAAGTCCTGCTCGAACTCGATCCGGAACTTCGGCAAACCCACTTCAACCTTCTGGCGACGCAGGCGGGGGGCAATCCGGTTGAGATCGAACTCCGGTAGGGCCAACTTTTGCTCAAGGTCGGCCAATACATCGTTCTTATTGGGCAGCAGGATCAGCATGCTGGTTTCACTGTCCTTGTAGGCCAGTTCCAGGGCGGTGGCGTTCAGCTCGGGCAGATCGGCAAAGCCGTAGACATCTTTGCTGTGCATCATGGCCACCTGGGAAGTTCTACCGTCAGTGAGGCTGAATTTGGCGGGGCGCGTGGCACTAGTGGAAAAAGCCTTTTCCCAGCGGCCCTTAAAATACACGGCGTTCACCAGTATGGCCTGCACATCAGATGTAATGCTTTTGGACGAGATCAAGTTCTGGATCTTGTTCCGGGTGCTGTTCGCCACCCAGGCGTTAATGTTGGTGGCCGTAACCTCGCCGTTATCCATGTCCACGGGCTCCGTACCGGCGGTGTAGTAGATCTTGGCGAACTCCTCAAATCTGGTATTGATGCCACCCAGCCGCTGGTTGTAGTAGACCCTCATCGCTGTTGTCAACTCGACACCCTGCAGATGATCCGTGAACTTGATCAGTCGCTGGAAGTCCAGGGCCACATCAGTGTGATTCTTGCCGAACTCCCCGACTTGCTTCAGTTCTCGCAAAGTCTCCCCAGAAGATGCCGCAAGGATCATGCCCAGCAGGGCGTGAACGGAGAAGGGAGAGATGACGACGTTGCCCGGGTTCGACTTCGCGATTTTCTGGAAGAGTTTGCCGCTGAATCGATCCATGTAGCTGAAGGAAGGCGATAGTTGTCGACTGTTGTTTTGGGATTGAATACGATCAAAGTTGGTCTGCTCGAAGGTCTGGGAAACCAAAAGGGGACCCATTAATAGTAGCAGGATACCTGGAAGAGGATTCATAAGATCATTTCTTTAACAGAGAGGGGGAGGAATCACAACTCACTGGCTTTGCTCGCCATTTTTCTTATCTGGTGCTGATTTAAAAGAATTTATTCTTCCGTTCCGACGATCTGCTCGTTTTCAGACCCACTACAAAACTGATCGTTGCAACACCAATTAGCAGAGTCAGGTTATACGGCTTTAGGATAAGAGAAAATGGTACAGACAAGCAGTCGGTATCGAATCGCATTATATGACAGTGTACTGGGAAAAGCTCAATAAATAAAATTTTAAGCCTACTGGGATTTTTTTGATTAAGTTGAGTTTTTTTAGCAACATTTCGGAACTTTCTTTATTTTTTCCACTTGGGAGGCACTTAAAATTATGTTTAACGAAAATTTTTAACCAAATGTTGTATTATTAATATTTATTATTAAAGGTAAGACTTTTATTAAACTTTAAAATGCATAGGTTTTTATTTTTAAGAAAATTTTTTTATATTTTGTTTATAAAAGAAAATATAATTAATCATTGATGATTTATCAAATAAAAATTAGATACCACTTTTGATAAAATTTACTTTGAATTTCTCGAAACAGTTCAAATTGACTTTAATATGTTTTTGTGAAACACAACAGCTAAAAAGTTTCATGAAATTAGGACCTTAGGAAATGTGATGGCCGCTTGGGGAGATTTTGACTTTTATGTATTTGGACCTTAACTAAAAAGGGTCCGCACCGGAACAGTGTGCCAAATTTAATTGCTGTTTTCTTATTGGATTATCGGTCTTTCCCCGATCCGAAAGATTTGCGGTATTTTGCCATTTGATTTGGCATGCTCTAATTAAGCATTTAAATCTTTTTCTAGTTTTCCACCCAAGAAGGCATATTTGTATTCAGATAATAAGGTAGAGTGTGGTAATGTTCATAATAACACAATTGGCATCTAATCGATATACATTTTTTATTATCTAATGATTCCTGTACTCGTTCAATGTTCTCTTCTTTTTAGTCTCAGAAATGATTTATGTTTTAATTCATATGCGAATAGTTATTTCAAAGTTTTCTTTGAGTGTTATTTTCGATTGGCAAAAATTCGGTTTACAGGTTCATTAAACTTAGTATGTAACTCTCTTTTTTTTTTTTTTTTAATGTAACATATATTTTATTTAGACGTTAATCAGCCAATTAAATGGCTATAAAACGTAGGGAGTAGAAAGAGTAACAAACATAACACGAAAAAACATAACAGCAGCGATAAATATCAATATGTTTTCGACTTTAAAAATAACAGGAGATTTTGGTGATGATCACGATTATATTTTATTTATTGGGGAAGGACTCTCGTTCTATGCCGCCCTCCTATCCATAGGTCTGCTTGATGCCTTCTCTTTAGCCTTTTTCTAATCAAAGGGGTTGCCAATGATGCAGCTAGGTGGTTCGAGTGGGCTCGAATCCGTGCATTGTAGCGACTTGAGTGACGATTGATTTGTTCCAGCATCCAATTAACCTTCCTAAGCTTACTACGGCATGTTGCTGCTAATTTGACGGTGTGTTGCCTCCATGTGAGCCGCTTGTCGAGGATCAATCCAAGATACTGCGCCTGAGGGGATTGTGGGATGAGCGTGTCTTGGAATTTAACTCTAGGGAGGGTTGGATGCCTTAAGGAGAAGTTGCAATGTTGCGATTTATTTTCGTTTATGCTTATATTCCACCTGTTAGTCCACTCGCTGTACAAGTCCAAGAAGCTCTGGGTAATTCTGGACGCCTCGATTCGACACGGAGAGTTTGCGATGAAGGCTGTGTCATCAGCATACGTTGCCAGGAGGATACCCTGGTCTCTGGGGTTTGGCAAGTCAGAGGTGTAAAGGGTGTATAGCACAGGACCAAAAACACTACCTTGTGGTACGCCAGCTCGTATGCATCGGATAGATGATCTTTCGCTTCTCACTTCAACCATAAAGCTTCTATCCAGCAGATATGTTTTAAGGAGGAAATACTGCGCAGTTGGCAAGAAAGTCTTCACTCTATCGAAAGCTTCCTTTACGTCCAAGAAGATAGCAGATCTGTACTGTCTATTCCCGAAGGCATCCAAAATGGTGGATAAGTAACATGGAGGTAACAGGAGGACTAAAAACAGTATACCCTTTTTCGGAAGTGCCTTGACAACCCTGCCGCCAATACCGTCAAATCCTGGAGCTTTACTGAGGTGCAGCTTTTTTATTTGGTGACAAACATCTTCCGGACTTAAATGACGAATAGGCTCTGCTTCTGGGGAGGCAGCATTAAGAAATTGCAGTGTGTTTTCAACGTCATCATGCTTCGCAAAGTTAAATGGCTGAAAGCGATTTTCCAGTTCGTCAGCAAAAGCCAGAGAAATTTCGGAGTCCGATCTGCACCAAGTGTTGTCAGTACGCTTAATAGGTATTCTGCGAGGGGGCTGCCCTTTTATAACTCTAGCTGCTTTCCAGATGCTAAATCCATATGGTTTTGTAGGATCAGCATTATGTAGCAGATCAGCGAAGTAGTAATTTTTTGTTTTGTGCAACAACTTTTTGAGATCGCCCTCAGTGCGACGATATGCTCTTTTGTCACCTTAAAGCATGGTGACTTTTTGACCGAGATAACATCATCATAGTTCAGTTACGACACGATCATGTCGAATTAGAATACATGAAATTCCTTAATTCTGAAACAACTTTATTGTTTTTTTTTACAAATGCATTGAGGCAAGGCTCTTTTCTGAAATAAAATCCTGTCTTGTCGGTTGTAGACATCGGCAGTTGATTCATTTCACAACTGGATCCTCCACGTGACCCACGAAGAGCACTGAGCTGGGGGTGCGGATGGCAAAAACGAACGGCCGGTTGGCGACGAATATGGAAAAACCGCTCATAATCCTAACCATCACATCTAGGACAGAGAATTATTAGTAATGGATTACGGGGAGGAAAGTGGGTAAGATCTTACAGGTAGCTGCCGCGGCCTCGGTTCCCCCCTCGCCCACATCGATGTAGGCCTTCTGCTTGATCTCATCAAAGCCCACTGGCTGATTGAGCAAGTTGATCACCTGCGAGCTTTGCGAGAACATCTGGCGGAGGCCCAGCTCCTTTAGGGGTTCGGTCATGTCCTGCTCGAACTCGATCCGGAACTTTGGCAAGCTCACTTCAACAATCTGGCGTCGCAGGCGGGGGGCGATCCGGTTGAGATCGAACTCCGGTAGGGCCAACTTTTGCTCAAGGTCGGCCAATCCATCGTGCCGATTGGGCAGCAGGATCAGCATGCTGGTTTCACTGTCCTTGTAGGCTAGTTCCAGGGCGGTGGCGTTCAGCTCGGGCAGATCGGCAAAGCCGTAGACATTTTTGCTGTACATCATTGCCACCTGGGAAGTTCTACCGTCAGTGAGGCGGAATTTGGCGGGGCGCGTGGCACTAGTGGAGAAATCCTTTTCCCAGCGGCCCTTAAAATACACGGCGTTCACCAGTATGGCCTGCACATTAGATGTAATGCTTTTGGACGAGATCAAGTTCTTGATCTTGTTCCCAGTGCTATTCGCCACCCAGTCATTGATCTTGTTGGCCGTGACCTCGCCGTTGCTCATGTCTACGGGCACTGTGCTGGCGTTATAGTAGATCTTTGCGAACTCATGAAATCTGGGATTGATGCCACCCAGCCGCTGGTTGTAGAAGACCCTCATCGCTATTGCCAGCTCGGAACCCGCCAGATGATCCTTGGTCTTGACCAGTCGCTGGAAGTCCAGGGCCACATCAGTGTGATTCTTGCCGAACTCCCCGACTTGCTTCAGTTCTCGCAAAGTCTCCCCAAAAGATGCCGCAAGGATCATGCCAAGCAGTGCATGCACGGAGAGGGGGGAGATGACGACGTTACCCTGGTTCGGCTTCGCGATTTTCTGGAAGAGTTTGGAGCTGAAGCGGTCCATGTAGCTGAAGTTGCCTGGAGGACTACTGAGGTTCACTTTCTCCTTAATTTCAAAGTTGTACTGCGCAAAGGTCCGGGCAACCAGAAGGTGACCCATTAATAGTAGCAGGATAGCTGGAAAAGGATTCATAAGATCAGTTCATTAAAAGAGAGGGGATGGGATCACAACTCACTGGCTTTGCTCGCCATTTTTCTGATCTGGTGCTAATTTATTTGAATTTATTCTTCCGTGCTGACGATCTGCTCGATTTCGGCTCCACCACAAAACTGATCGTTGCGAGTCCAATCATCAGCAGCAGAGCTTTGGAATAAGAGAAAAATTGTACAGATCATGACTTTACTTCCGGAGAAACAGTCGGTAATGGTAGTGTCATAGGCGGGGTTTAGATCGGTTCTTCTATGTTGCTGGCAGGGCAGGCGCTACTTTGCCTAGGTTGCCATTCTAGCTGCGGTTTTCAGTGCTTTGTTCTTTCAAAAGGGTTAAGAGGGCCTAGAAAAGGAATTTAATTCAATAAGGGTGCTTATGAAAATTATGAAACCCATTTTTATCTTAACGGTGCTTATGAATTATATTAAAACCAATTTGAATTAGCTTATTTTGTGTGAGTCATATTTTTTAAGTGAATAGCCAATACATACATACATAATTTTATATAAATTTTAAAAATTTTTTATAAACAAAGTGTATTTATAAGTGTGTATGCTGGAAAATAACTAATTAAATACATTTTTTGTTGTCGGATTTCCATGTTTAAGTAATAAAATTAATTAAAATTTCCAAGAAAACAAAATTAAAAGGCTACCGGGAATTTTATGGGTCACTTAAGTATTTTTCATTATTTTTATATTTCTAGGAATAAAGTGGAATGCATATTTATTTATATATTCCTAGAAACGGGAAACAATGATTTTGAAGAAAATACACAATAGCTTATCATTATACCCTTGCAGAGGGTATTATAATTTTGGTCAAAAGTGTGCAACGCAGTGAAGGAGACATCTCCGACCCTATAAAGTATATATATTCTTGATCAGGATCACCTCCTGAGTTGATATAGCCATGTCCGTCTGTCCGTCTGTCTGTCCGTCTGTCCGTCTGTCTGTTTCTACGCGAACTAGTCTCTCAGTTTTAAAGCTATCGAATTGAAACTTTGCACACACCCTTCTTTCCTTTGCACGCAGTATATAAGTCGGAACGGCCGGGATCGGCCGACTATATCCTATAGCTGCCATATAACTGATTGATCGGAAATGCCATAACTTTCGTGTTTGTAAAGTTAGGAAGTTGAGATTTTCTATGGGTTTTATATTTGGCCAATCAATCCGACCTACCAAATTTCATAAGGATCGGCCGACTATATCCTATAGCTGCCATATAACTGATTGATCGGAAATGCCATAACTTTTGTGTTTGTAAAGTTAGGAAGTTGGGATTTTCTATGGGTTTTATATTTGGCCAATCAATCCGACCTACCAAATTTCATAAGGATCGGCCGACTATATCCTATAGCTGCCATATAACTGATTGATCGGAAATGCCATAACTTTCGTGTTTGTAAAGTTAGGAAGTTGGGATTTTTTATGAGTATTAAGAATGCATTATATGAATAATTTTGGAGAATATATAATTGGAGAATATATAATTTACAGAGTATTCTGCAAGGGTATATCAACTTCGGCTCCGCCCGAAGTTAGCTTTCCTTTCTTGTTTTTAATATATCTTATTTCGTATTAAATTCAATCAGAAAATTGAAAAACCCATGACTTAACTCGCAGTAAACCGATCGGATGTCTATATCCTATAGCTCCCATAAGAACAATCGGATATAACTTGCAAGAATGGAAGATATTTCGCGCAGTGTAAAAGCTATTAACATAAATCTTTCCAAATCTTATTTTTTTATGCGTACCTTGATCAGGGTAAAAGTGCTTGGCGATCGGACGTCTATATCCTATAGGTCCCATAGGTACAGTAGGGTAAAATCGGTTAAAATTTAATGATTTTTAGGATATTTCGCGCAGTATATAAGCTATCGACATTAATCTTTTCAAATCGTATTTGTTATGCATACCTTGATTAGGGTAATAGCGCGTGACGATCGGACGTCTATATCCTATAGCTCCCATAGGAACATATACCTTATTCCTTTCGCTACTTTTTCATTTTTAGCAAATTCGGAAAAGTCTGAAAGGGTATTAAAACTTCGGCTTGCCGAAGTTAGCTTCCGTCCTCTTTTTTATACCCTTGCAGAGGGTATTATAATTTCAGTCAAAAGTTTGCAACGCAGTGAAGGAGACATTTCCGACCCTATAAAGTATATATATTCTTGATCAGGATCACCTCCTGAGTTGATATAGCCATGTCCGTCTGTCCGTCTGTCCGTCTGTCTGTCCGTCTGTCTGTTTCTACGCGAACTAGTCTCTCAGTTTTAAAGATATCGAATTGAAACTTTGCACACACCCTTCTTTCCTTTGCACGCAGTATATAAGTCGGAACGGCCGGGATCGGCCGACTATATCCTATAGCTGCCATATAACTGGTTGATCGGAAATGCCATAACTCTGCTGTTTGTTAAGTTAGGAAGTTGGGACTCTCTATGGGTATTATATTTGGCCAATCAATCCGACGTACCAAATTTCATAAGGATCGGCCGACTATATCCTATAGCTGCTATATAACTGATTGATCGGAAATGCCATAACTTTGGTGTTTGTAAAGTTAGAAAGTTGGGATTTTCTATGGGTTTTATATTTGGCCAATTAATCCGACCTACCAAATTACATAAGGATCGGACGACTATATCTTATAGCTGCCATATAACTGATTGATCGGAAATGCCATAACTTTAGTGTTTGTTAAGTTAGGAAGTTGGGATTTTCTATGGGTTTTATTTTTGCCCAATCAATCCGACATATCAAATTTCATAAGGATCGGCCGACTATATTCTATAGCTGCCATATACATAACTGAACGATTGGAAATGCCATAACTTTGGTGTTTTTAAAGTTAGGAAGTTTGAATTTTTTATGAGTATTAAGAACGCATCATATGAATAATTTTGGAGAATATAATTTGCAGAATATTCTGCAAGGGTATATCAACTTCGGCTCCGCCCGAAGTTAGCTTTCCTTTCTTGTTTTATCTTGACGGTGCTCTTGAATTGTATTAAAATCAATTCGAAGTGGATTATTATGTGTGACTCATATTTTTTATGTAAGTAGCCTATACTTTATCATGTCAATACATACAATTATATGTAAATTTAAAATATGTAGAAAAGTACCTATTTGCTTTAAATTTGTAAAAAACAAAGGATATAAATAATTGTGTATGCTGGAAAATAAATAATTTAAAAATCCTATTCAAATTTTGTGCAGGAAATTCATGTTTAAGTGAACAAATAAGAAGAATATAAATGGCTTGCCGAAGTTTGTTTACTTTCTTGTTTTAAATATATTTGGTAAATTTAAAAAATGGTTCACTTAATTATTTTATGTTAAAGTCGAATTATTTTGATATCTTCGTGGTTCATAATTCTTGATTGTCTTTACCCGAACCGAAACATTTGCATAATTTTGCCATTTGATTTGGCATGCTCTAATTACGCAATTTATTGGTATTTTTGTGGATACAAAGTTTTTATACCCTGCACAGGGTATTATAATTTTGGTCAAAAGTGTGCAACGCAGTGAAGGAGACATCTCCGACCCTATAAAGTATATTTATTCTTGATCAGGATCTCCTCCTAAGTTGATATAGCCATGTCCGTCTGTCCGTCTGTCTGTTTCTACGCAAACTAGTCTCTCAGTTTTAAAGCTATCGAATTGAAACTTTGCACACACCCTTCTTTCCTTTGCACGCAGTATATATGTCGGAACGGCCGGGATCGGCCGACTATATCCTATAGCTGCCATAAAACTGATTCATCGGAAATGCCATAACTTTGATGTTTGTAAAGTTAGGAAGCTGGGATTTTCTATGGGTTTTATATTTGGTTAGTCAATCCGACCTACCAAATTTCATAAGGATCGGCCGACTATATCCTATAGCTGCCATATAACTGATTGATCGGAAATGCCATAACTTTGGTGTTTGTTAAGTTAGGAAGTTGGGATTTTCTATGGGTTTTATTTTTGGACAATCAATCCGACCTATCAAATTTCATAAGGATCGGCCGACTATATCCTATAGCTGCCATATAACTGAACGATTGGAAATGCCATAACTTTGGTGTTTTTAAAGTTAGGAAGTTGGGATTTTTTATGAGTATTAAGAATGCATCATATGAATAATTTTGGAGAATATAATGTACATAATATACAACTTCGGCTCCGCCCGAAGTTAGCATTCCTTTCTTATTATACCCTTGCAGAGGGTATTATAATTTTGGTCAAAAGTGTGCAACGCAGTGAAGGAGACATCTCCGACCCTATAAAGTATATATATTCTTGATCAGGATCACCTCCTGAGTTGATATAGCCATGTCCGTCTGTCCGTCTGTCCGTCTGTCTGTCCGTCTGTCTGTCCGTCTGTCCGTCTGTCTGTTTCTACGCAAACTAGTCTCTCAGTTTTAAAGCTATCGAATTGAAACTTTGCACACACCCTTCTTTCCTTTGCACGCAGTATATAAGTCGGAACGGCCGGGATCGGCCGACTATATCCTATAGCTGCCATATAACTGAACGATCGGAAATGCCATAACTTTGGTGTTTGTAAAGTTAGGAAGTTGGGATTTTATATGGGTGTTATATTTGGCCAATCAATCCGACCTACCAAATTTCATAAGGATCGGCCGACTATATCCTATAGCTGCCATATAACTGATTGATCGGAAATGCCATAACTTTGGTGTTTGTAAAGTTAGGAAGCTGGGATTTTCTATGGGTTTTATATTTGGCCAATCAATCCGACCTACCAAATTTCATAAGGATCGGCCGACTATATCCTATAGCCGCCATATATCTGATTGATCGGAAATGCCATAACTTTGGTGTTTGTTAAGTTAGGAAGTTGGGATTTTCTATGAGTTTTATTTTTGGCCAATCAATCCGACCTATCAAATTTCATAAGGATCGGCCGACTATATCCTATAGCTGTCATATAACTGAACGATTGGAAATGCCATAACTTTGGTGTTTTTAAAGTTAGGAAGTTGGGATTTTTTATGAGTATTAAGAATGCATCATAT